AGGAAAAAGATTCCTGCATATGTACAATTGGTTCAGGGCAGGAAACATTTTGTGGATATCAAACTTAGGTCTTCATTTCCCTGCAGTCCTGTGTCTCTCAGGTGAAATTAACACAAATGCCATTAAACATTACCTAAAAACCCTCAGTAATTTATATACTGCTGCCCTCTACTGCAAATATATATATACACAAGCCATTGAAACAAACTTAACATCACTATTTTTAGTAAAACATTGCATATGAATTTCTTGCATTTCATGGGTTCATACTACATTCTGGTTTTGCCTAAAGGATGCTCATTTTGAAGCTAAATATTCCACTTTACTCATCTGTGGATCTGAATGACCACAAAGGACATCAGTCTTAAACCAAAGCAAACTATTAATCTAGACCTTTAGAGGAAAGCCACAACTCAAGCAAGAGAAAGTCAAAATCATTTCTCAAAACTGCAATCCCATCATTAATGAAATAATTTAGGATGGCACAGCAAAATAGCATCAGACAATCTGCAGCTGTAACTTTGTTATTTGGAGGTTGCACAAGCCCTGCTAACTCCAGTGTTACATCTATAATCCAACATTAGACCCCACATGCCTCTCTCATGGCTTTGCATCACTCTACCAAGGCTGTTATCACCCTGTCCTCCTCTTCCCTGTGCTCTCAGTCTCCCCAGCTTCCTGCATGAGCTGGCACATGGCTTCAGTGCAGGACTTCTCCATATTAACAGGGAGCTGGAAGAAGGCCACATTCCCCTTTTTCCTGCCTCCATATGGGGTCACAAACCTGAGGCAGGCATCAATGAGATCTGTTCTGGAACAAGATGTCCCAATAGTGCATCTAGGGCACAGAGAGGAGCAGCAGTCACTAACACTGTACTGGCCTTACAGTCATTATCATGTTAGAAAAACCACAGATGCTCACAGAACCACTGCCTAGCATGACAGATTCTTAAGAGCCACAATGCACTATTTCTAATTGGAAAAGGATTGTTTCATACAACTATGAAACTGTGTGGTCATCATGCAGGGGTTTGTGGGTCAGTTTGGAAACCAACACCATAAAGGAACTGCAGGCATTTAAAACACTTCACGACTGAGAAACTAATTTCAAAATAATTACCTGAGCAGAATTATAAGACAACCTGAGAACTTTTTTTAACACAAGACAAGCAAGATGCAAGAAAAAGAAATTGAGTAGTCTCAATCCCACATCTTCATAAATTCAAGAACAATTAACAGTGAACTCCAAATGTACTAAAGACAGTGGGTGCATTTGGGAGATTAAGGAAGAATTACTGTGAGAGCCACCAATCATCTTTAGGGAAGAAAAAGAGCACCAAGTTTTCATTTCCTTTGAGAACTGAGACAGCACATTATTCACAACAGGAGACAATCAGTATTAGATCAACTTTATTATATTATCAAATTTGACAATAAAATATTCAAAATCTATTGAACACATTCATACACAAGAACATATAAAATGCCAGGCCTCATGTTCTGTACAAAATACTGGTTAGTGTAGAGCAGCAAAGTCACTGCCAAACATTCCCTGAATTTAAGAGGGCCTTGAACACACTGTGCTCCAAGAATTACCTTAATACCAAACATTCCTTCCTTTGGTCTGCAAGTCCTTTGCAATTATTGCTAGTTATTGAAGCTTTCTGCTTTTATACAAATCACATAGTGACTCTGAACCTCTTCAGAAGTACTACAATGACAGCTGAAAGCTTCTTCAGCATTGTCTATACAAGTTGCCAAAAATAAGAAACACATTTGGTCCTCAAGACTAGTTTTGGTTTCTGAAAATATCCTGGAAGAATAAAACTAAGTAAAAATTATGGAAAGAGACACATAATTAATGCTTTAGGTATAACAAAGATACATTAGTGAATTCAGACACTTCAGCTGTGCAGTGTGGCAAAGCACCTGAGTTAATCCTCTTATCAAAGTGCTACATTCTCACTAAAGATATTTTTCAGACCTCTCCCTCCACAGGAATGGAGACAGCTCAGAGCCCGTGGCTGCAGCAGGTCTGACAGCAGTGCTCAGTGCTGCCCTTGCAGAGGATCTGCTCAGAGAGCAGCCACTCCTCACACACAGTGCAGGGCTTCCACTTCAGCAACTGGAATAATGCATTCACTTCTCAATGAGAACTGCATCCTAACATACAAGAAACTGCAAATGAAAGGGCTGATGATCATTTGGTAGGGGGAAAAACGACCCCACACTTTCCCGACATAAAACTCCAGCCTGCAGATGCACCACAAGTAATCAAAGAACACCAGAGGTGCTGTGCTTGCTCTCACACAGCACTTAGGACTCAGGTACACACATTTCTTTACAACAGTACAACAAGGCTTTATAGTAACAAACAACAGAACAAACAAATAAAAGCCTTGAAAAACCTTCAGCTTCATTTTACCACATTAACTATCACAAGGCTTGTCTAGCAACAGAAAACTGGTATAGAAATCTTCAGTTTAAAAGACACAGCCAACTAATCTCAGAAACAATACTAGGTTGCCAAAATTAGAAAAGAATAAAAAAGTTGTGCTTTTTTCTTCTTTTGGGTCACAAAAAGTGTATTTTAAAAGTACTAAAGAAAAGAGCCCAAGCATTTTTTGAATAATGTATTTTGGAACTTCAAATCACAAAAAACCCCGCAGCTAAATTCTTGCTAGGAGACTGAAAATGCTATTGATTAATGGGTAAGGATCCAAATGAATCTTACAAACGTTCTCCAGATCAGGTTAAGTATTGTTTACCTACATTGTTTTCTCATTTTTCAGCCCTTGATGTCTATGTTGGTATCCTGCAATACAGCCTCCAGCTCCACTCAATCCAGTGCTTATTAACAAGCATTCTCCTTCAGCAAGAAATACAGATTGTGATTATATGTTTTCTGTAATTTATTCAGATAGCCATTTATTCAAAAATTGAGTCAGACCAAGGAAGAGCTTTATCATCTTCGAACAGTCTTGGAACACAAGCCTGAAGCTTATCCAGCTGACAAGCCCTGCATAAAATAGATCACTTGGCTAAAGGGCAATTTTCTGTGGGGACTTTTTGAAGGAGGGGTTGAGTTGGTTTTTTTCCCCCTCCTTGTTGTAGGGCTTCTTCTTTTGTGGGGATTGATTGTGTAGGTTGACTGGTTGTGGGGTTTTTTTGTTGTTGTTGTTTTTGGGGGGTTTTTTTGTTTTTGTTTTTTTTTTTTTAATCTCAGCAGTTACACATTGCCAAGGCTGTGGACAAGTCAGTACTTACTCTGGAAAAGTCTAGGCAATATTGCTGCTGGACTACAGGGTCCTGGACAAGTGAGGACAAGATTAATGATCCATTTTTAAAATCAGGAAAATGTCTACACTCCCTCAACATAAGCACTAGGAAAAAATGCAGAGGGGGAAACAAAGCTACATAAGGAAGTTAAAACCTAGTAAGATAATTAGCTGGGTGATGACTCTAGTTCTAATTGTTTTGAATTAATAAAAAATTTCTGAATTAAAACTAAAGTCTTACAACTACCTTCTGATTCCATTCTACAGTAGCAGGAGTTCAAGCCCATCAGTTCAACAGATCTTATTGTAATGTCCAGTGGCAGAAAACATTTTAGGCATGCTACCAAAATAGTTAAAACTTTAGCCTTTTGACAATTCAGTTTCTTAAGTAATCAATCCTTAATAGTTTGAGTTTCTGCAACTCTTAAAATATTTTTCTTGGAGAATCTAGCATTTTGAAAGCATTCAAAGCTGTGTTTTTAGAAAACTAAGCGCTGTCTAACTGGGTGACTGGTTTTAAAGCAAGCAAGCGAGAATTTTTGAGTATAACTATTTCTCCAACAGGATTTCTGTAATCAAGGTGGTAGATATGATGGCCTTTAGACCTGCACTTCTGTGGAGGTCAGAGTTGAAATTACTATTTTAACATTGAGTAGAACAACACTGTAGGAAATTAGAGAACTGCATGTTCAGCAATTTATAGAAACATTTAAGGAATCACATGTCCCAACTTCTTCAAACAGCAAAAATGAAACTTGTAATCTATGGGAAATTACTTTTAGTCCTAAAACAAATTCCTTTTCAGTGGAATGCAATGTTGATCCAGTCACTGTTTAGTCAGGCAACTGGACCAAAAGTGTTTGGCTGAGAACAAGTTTTATACTCCATACTGGTTTTCATTCCCCACTCTATTTCAGAAGTTCACTTTTCTTTAAATACTGCCCACTATCCATTATCATTTCCACCACAGGGGGTTGTTTTCCACCCAGAAATGCAATTCTATACCTTACAGAGTGCCAGTATTCAATTAGCTTTGAGTGGTGTGCTACTCCACACTGCTACAGTTATTACAAGCACCAACAACAGTTTAGCTTCATTCCCTCACTGAGAAATAAAGCACAGGCTGAGAACTCCTCAGACTCCAGACTGTATGTGATCAGGGATTCTAGAGGTTGATGAGCAAACCACTTCCTCTTTCTAAAATAACCCAGTAGGGCATCTAATAAAGAAGCTTCAAGTAATTCACACATCTTTTTTCCCCCCACAGGCTGTAATAAATAAAAGTCTGGATTGCAACAGTGATAGCACAGTTCCAGGCAGACCTCTTCCCTATTTTCCCAAGTAGATATGCACATTCACAAACCAATCCTCTGGGAACTGTGGATCAGAATATGCAAGACCCTTTAAAATGCTTACTGTGTTTGCCACATTGTTAATACCATTCCCTTGGGCATCCAAAATTGCCATCCTTCCAAGCCTTCCACTCCAAACCTGCAAAGACCACACAAAGGAACTCTGGGATCTATGAGTTCATGTGGTATGTGCAAGGGGATGCACAGTCTCCAAATGAAAGTCTGTATGACCATTGGACACAACACCAGAGGCAACAAAATGCATATTTGACAAAATTTTCAGAATGTGAAAATACCATGAAATATCATGAACACAAATCAGAGACAAACAATCATTTAGAATACCAAGCAACTTGAAAACAACCTTTTAAAAAAGCAAAATAAATAATTCAAATATCTAAATATCAAGGGATTAAAAGGCATTTCCCCATATTTAAGGGAAGGCATCACAGGTGAGGAAAATAACTATCAGCACAAGGTTATCACGAATCAATGAGCAGCTTTTTCACATAGGAGATAGTAGTTTCATTGGACAGCATTTGAATGTGCTCGTTTCCTGCAAGCTCAAACATCACCACTTCCTGTTCCTGCCTGTGCACCCACTTTCTACATTGCAAGGCACTCTGTAAGTTCACTGTACCATCCCCATCACTGTAGAAGATCTTGGGCTCTCTGTCAGGGAAGCTCTCGTAGTGGAAGGAGTCGGGGGTTTCCACGCCCGTGCCGTAGAGGCAGTGGATGCGCACGCCGGGCGGGGTCATGGCGTACACCAGGGGCTCCGTGTCCTGCCTCATCAGCCAGCCATCCTCGAAGTTAATGTCCCTGTAGAACTTCCAGTAATCCCTCAGTGTGTAGTTGGCTGTGGGGGTGCTCACAAACACCTTATCTGGAGGCCACGTGTAGTTGTAGGGGAGCATCCAATTTGTGGAAACTGCTGATCTCTGCTGGTCTCTGATCTTGAGGGAACTGATAACAGGGATTCTGTTGTTGTCACCTTAGGGAAAAAAGTGGAATTTCATTATCCAGAAAGCAAGACATCAATCCTAATCAGCAGCAATTACTAGCACTCATGGTGATAAGATGAATAAGTTTGTTCCCCTGGCTTACCGTGACAATTTGAAAAGTTTTTTCCTCATTTATGATTGTCTCGTAAATTAACTTCTGCAAACTGACTTTTAATAACTTCCAAGATTTAAATATGAGTTGATGAATGACTGAAACAAATGGCTTAAACTAACACATTACTAAAGGGTAATTTATATGCACCTTCCTGCATATTTTAACAATTGTTCTTCCATCTTCACAAAATCAAAAGCTGCTTAATAATTACAGTGATTACTTAAAAAAAAAACCTGAGACAAACACAAATTTATATTCCTTGTTTTTTTCATTATCACAGTGGCTGTCACATTTCAATTCTTTTGTCAGCTGAACTTTGAATTTTATTGTCCATTATTAGATCCAGGTGGTTACAGCATGTAGTGGTCCAAGTCAACTATGCCATAAAAATTGAAATGCTGCAACTGAAACCACTCTTCCTGAAAAATATACTTTGGTGCTATTTCAATTCCATGGGGTGGCACTATTGCTTCAGCAAGGAGAAACAAAGCACAGTAATGCCATCTTTAGGAGGAATGTATGTGGACATTGCTAGTCTGAAAGAGATAAAGTAAACTCAAATGCACAGCAAAAATCACAAAGGTCCTGAAAAATGGGTTTCATGATACTGTGTGGTGTAACCACTTCACTGTGCACTCTCATTGCTAAGTTACTGAACACTGCTTGGCAGTTTTCAGCAAAGAAAGCCCAAGTTCTGACCTGAACAATGAAAGGAATGTGTACAAGATTTATTTCCAGCAGAATAATCAAACACAGAACCTGACTATCCCAGCCTTCTCTTACAGAACTCTTACAAAGTGCTTCTCAAATCCTTTACTTTTCTCATAAGTGAAGAAGTACAGGATGGCCAACACCACATTTAAGTCAGCAGACACATCAAAACCTTAGGTGTAAGGAAGACACTGCTAATATTTCAACTTTTCAACATGTTAAAAATAGAAACAAACCACTGTGAGCTTTGTGTCTTTGCCTACTATAGTGGGATCAAGCAAAGCTCAAGTACAAGTAGCTGAAAGTATCACAGAAATCTCCAGAAAACAATTCCACCAGTGTACGGTTTACCACTTTGATAACACAGCTGTGGATTTGACATGAAGCTCCTGGCATCACAAATTATAAACAGGAATGGGAGCAGAAAGAATGCATTCATAGAGTGCCTTGTCTTTCCTGTTGAAATGCAGTATTTTCCTTTAAAGCAACAGTGCTTCAGCATACTAATCCTGATAACTTTAGAAACTCTTAAATAGACTAATGCAGTCCAAGGGCTGATGGTGGTGCTTACCAAGGTGGGTATTTGACACAGAAACACCTTAAACCTGTACATTCTGATATTATGTTTGCCCATGTAACTTTCCCACACAAATCTTAAATTTCTGCTCCAAAACAGAAGTTTAGTACAACAGATACACAGATTAAAACATGACTGACTATATTACAGTAGAAATTTAGCTATTCATTATGCATTAGTAGAATTAGCCCCTTTGCTTGAGATGCATTATAAAGTGTAGACAAGGTACAAAGCAGAAAAGTTTAATCCAACAGAGATATGGGACTATGGAATATAATAGTGTAATTTTATGAGGGTGATAACATTGTTCACTTCTTGCCATTTCTGTAGCAAGCAAGTATGTCAGACAAAGCCTGTGGGAAAAGGGAAATAAATTTTTAAGTGACATTTCAACAGCTTTAACAATGTGTAAATTGGATGTTTGTATTGAGTCAAGTTTTCTAATTAGTAATGGAGTAGTGCACTACTGTTCAGAATCAAATGCCTTTGCTAGGCAAAGTATTCTTTGCTCTGTCCATGCATGGCTGACTCTTGCTGTGTGTTTTGCATTTTGATGAAGTCCAATTTTTGATGTCGGCTTTGATTAGGAAGAAGACAGTGGATATCCAAAGCTAACAAGTCAGAAACAAGCTACAAAACCAAGCCAGAAACATCAAGAACTAAATGTCAAAGCACATGATGTAATTATGGTATCACATGATGGGTAAGTGAACATTTTCCATCAGTCATTTTCAGTTATTTAGTGAAGTATATTGTGCTGCTTTATTCAATTTTTTTGTTTTTTAGTCTCTGGCATATCCAGTGTGCTAAACCCAAGACCTCAAAGATTCATTTTCCTAATGAGTTACAATTAAGAGTTACAATTTTCACCTGACATTTACACTGGACACAAGTTCCCCACCATCTCTACAAATTTCCTTTAATGTTAACCTCAAGCAGCTGTGTGATCTTTAATCAAAGGAAACTGCTGAATGCTCTGGAGTCCTTTGTAGCTTTGCAATACTGAACAGAGAGCAATCAGGCTGGTGGCAGAAGGGACAGAAAGGGAAGGCATCAGGCCAAACAGCAGACAGCACAACAATCTGCTGAAAAAAGGTCAGGAGAGGTCAAGAAGGGAGAAAGCTCCTGGTTACAGGATGTGGGAAATCTCAGTCCACCCCCACAAATATGAAAGATAACAGTTGGGTTGCAGGGCTTGAAACACCCAGTTGTTATTGCTTACAAAAAAGTATTTTTCCCTTCATGGTACCTCAAACTCTTATCCTGCAGTCCTACAGTCACAGCCTCCTTAGCACTGTGCACTACACATAGCACAGGGCAGAGCCCCAAATCACCTACCTGAGGCCAGCACACGCAGAGTTTTGGCCACGCCCCCCCACGGAGCACCCAATGACACATAATCCTTGATGTACTTGTCCTTCCAATCCTGGGGCTGGCGGTTCAGGAAGTAGAGGGTGTACATGTTCCCCATGCTGTGGGCAATCAGCACCACAGGGCTCCCATACTGCTCATACAGCAACTCGATCATCTTGCGAAGCGCCACAAAATAGTCTTCATTCTCATCTAAAATATACACATCACACAGTGAGAGTTATTAACTGGGAATGCTGAGCTTTAAAAACAAATAAACTTTTAAATAATGGTGTTGAACTGTCCACAGAATTAATAATGCAGACCTCAGAAATTCCAGTACTGAATGGGAGGGGTGGGGGTTTTGTGTGGATGTACTTTGCTGAAATGGGTTTTTTCTGTTGTTTTGTTCTGGTTTTAAGCAAGTTTTAAGTAGCAAGTTGGTTAAAGAAGAAAAAAAAAAATGGAACCACAACACCAAGCTTGCATTTGTATCCAGGAGTACCCCAGCCCTGAGAACTAGACAAAATTAAGTTTTTAGATTGTGAAGGATGGGAGAAGTGATTCAATACATTATTTGCTGGGTAGGAGAGTCAAAATTTTATTAAAGTAACAGTATATTATTTACTTGGTGCCTTTCTCCAGTCATAAGGTGCTCCTCTTACATCTTCATCACGTTTGTAGCCCCAATCTACTAAACTCTGCACCAACATATAAAAGTAACTTCCTGTAAATATCAGATAAGAGAGAAACAGAAGAGTAACAAGGTTAGTGTGAGAAGCAGCTGTCAGCCACTACTGCAAAACAAGGTTCCAGAGGCAGTATCTGTGACACCCTATGTACACACTAAACCTGCAGTTTGCCTTTAACAATCTAGAAAGCTGCATGCATATTAAACAAAATGAGTTATGCTCACTAACCCCCAAAATCAAGAGAATATCACCACTAAAACTTCTTACTATATGGCTGACCTCTCAAACCTTTTGGCAGCCAAATGTAGTATACACAAAGTGGATAAATTTTACTCAGCAGAGGAAAGTTTACCCTTGAGCTGCAAGATAATAATTTCTGAGGGGTTTTCAGAGTCATAGCTTTTGCTGATTACAAATTAAAATTAACAACAGGTAGGGAGTAACAGTTGGCCAGGACTTCAACATTTATTCTTGGAAACAAATGCTTATTATATACCCTAGGGCAGAACTCCAGAAACTACCCCAAAACTTTTTTTATCTCTGGGGTAGTGGACTAAGACTTAAGTAATTGAACATAAAGCTGTAATAGCAAAAAGGGAAATAGCTGCAGACTGCACATTGAAAGATGTGACTTAATACGAGGTTTCACACGTGGGATTTAAGTATTACCACGACTAAATGCATCAGAACAGTCTACTGAACATCAGAGCCATATTTAAGTTTTGAGCAGAACCTCACTTGTTAGTCTTGAATGTTTATCATACTGTCCCTCAAGTGGAGAATTGAATCATGGTGTAAGAGTGACCTAGTGCAGATCATTAAGCACATCACTGTCCTTAAGGAACAGATCCATGCTATGCAGCACATGAAGCTCAGTCCATTACTGACTATTCAAGTCCTCCAGTCTTCAGCCACAGTGATCAACTCACAAAAGCTTATCAAACTCAGTGTTTTCTGAAACATGACTTCTACAAAAGCACCAAACAAAAAACCCTGCAAACACATTAATGCAGAAATCTTTTGCAGCACAAATGCAATTATATAATTATTCTGACACCAGCAAAATACAAGGAGCTACCCATTGTGGTACCATATCTCCCAATCCAATTAACCCATTCCTAAGGCCAAAGAACATCATCTGAGTAAGAACTGAGTAACAAGTTCTTACTCAGAACTTGTGCTTTTATTTCAGTTTTGCTTGTCAAGCTTCTGTCACATAATTTTCTACTCAACCCATCTCATTTTCAGAAAGCATCTGTCCTCAATATGGCTATTCAGATTTCATCCACTTAGATTGAGACGAGATTCCATGGTATTTAGTATTGTGTCAAGTCTTAGTTTTATCTATCAGGCCACACAACAAACGAAACAATACAATGCAATGAAAACTCTTAAAAGCCAAGTGAGCTCACAGAACTGTAATTTGAAATCACATTTCAGAAACTTGTTGCATAAAGACAAACTAGAAAAACCCTGCAAGTGACAAAGCACTCCAGACACAGCTTGTACATACCAACACTCCTTTTACTTGGGTCAAGAAATTCCAAAGAAAACGTCTGCCCAAAGCCGGGCACTCTGATATCCACTCCATCTGGTGGTTCTGTGATCTTACTTGTTCGGTTATACACCAGCCTGGGGAGGAGGGGAAGGAAAACAATGAGAAAACCATGAAACATGTTTTATTGCCACATGACAACCCTCAATTACACTGGGTCTCACATTCTGAGTGCAGTACAAGAACTTTAAGTGCTGTTACTCAGAAGGAGAAAAAAACCCAACCCAAGCAGACATGATCGGAGTACTCTTATGGCTAAGAGATTATACAGTGCAAACAATTACTTGAATTACTTCAATGCTCCATGGTGCAGAATCTAGGACTTTTTGCCTCTGTAAAAATGAGCATATGGATGTGTGACTAAACTTCATCTTTAAAATATCAGCTACTTTATATAGTTCTACATCATTTGACTTTGCATCAAGCTACAAAATCAAAAAACTTATAAAGAGCATAGGAATGTGGCAATAGGACAGAAAATACCTATTAAATCAGACATCAAAAATATTAACCTACCTAAAAATAATTCATTTCTATTTAACTGAAACACCCATACCAGCATAAGGGAGTACTTTATTTCCTGATTAATGACTACTGGCACTTCAGGAAACATATTGAGGTACTGAGTGTTGTGTAAATACTTTTCAAAATAACTCAGGATGTGAAGAATCTGGAGCACTGAATTAGGAGTTTATTTCTTTAATCATCCCTGTTATTACAGTTGGGGGTTGGTTTGTTTTTAATACCATATCAATACAATCGCATTTCTGAATGCAAGTTTTTGCCCCTAGATGGAGTCTAAGAATCTAAACTGATGCACAAATCTCTTAACAAAAATCTCTCTAATCCATAAGGCACAGGGCAAGACAAAGCAGAATGCTTTACAACAGCTCAGTACATTAATAAAAAAGCAACATGCCAACACAATAGTTTTTATTTGCATCAGCTAATTATTTCTTGTTTTCATACATATATTTATATTATTTTTACAGGAACACTAATAAAACAGATTGGAAATAACATGAAAGTTTTAAATTAGGCAATTTTTAAAACCAAAATATTTCAGGTGGAACTTCCTGTGCATCAGTTTCTGCCCATTTCCTCTTGTCCTATTTCTTGGCAAAAAAAAAAGAGCAGAAAACCTCCTCCTTGAGATAAGGGCCATAGAGGTGTCTAACAAGTGCTCAAACCTACACTGAGTCACTGGTAGAAGAGAAAGGGGAAGAAATTAAGAGAGCCTCTGCTCTTCATCAGCAATTACAGCCACTTCAGATGAAACAGAGCTACATCCTCAGACCCATCCTGTTAGCCTGCCCAGCAGAATTCCAAATCATTGCTCTCACTGGTCTTGAATCAGAAAAGGAATTTAAAGGCAGCCATTCTGCTTATCAGCCTATAGAAAGGATGTGACTGCAAAGAGCAATATTCCTGCTCTTACCTGATATTATCAATCCAGCAGTCAATGATGACAGGCAGAAGCAATTCTAGATTCAGCCAGAGTGTAAAATAACTGTCTGTCTTCTTAGAGCAGAGATAGTGCACCACTGATGGCTTATCTAACTTTGCTTCCAACTGATTACCTAAGTCCCCTGGAACTGAAAGATATAAAGAGGAGAGAGACATATAAAAAGAAGATAGTTAATTAAAGCATATAAGATTTTCTATTGCAGTACACACAGCTAAATATTGTAGCCCTTATGTGCATTATCACTGCACCAGAGACACCATCAGGTTTTGTAATTGGAGAACAAATACTACATAAGAAGATACTACATATACATTTTCCACTGAAAATATTTCTATACTTTCAAAGCTCATTACCTGAGAAACCAACATGTAGAGTGCTTCTGGATGAACAGCTTCTAACTTCAAAGAGCAGACTACAAAGGAGCATGCAAGGCCATAGGTATGAAAAAAAAAGATTGTCTAGGACATCACCAACTGATCTGTGTTTTCAAGTACAGACTGAATCTTTCTGAGAGAACCTTTTTCCAGAGCATCACAACTACTCAACTTTGTTCTCTTTAAACAGTTGCCTGCAAACTTTCAATTTGACATTAGAAATGTAAAAAGTAAAAGACTGATTTATATTACTTATCTTCCCTTTTCCACATAAGACCAGACTTTTACAACACAAGATATGGTTGGCTAACAGTGTAAAAATGCAGTTTCATCTCTTTTACATTCAGGTTTTGGCAACATCAGTTACATTTTTTCCTTTGGAAACCTTACATGAGTAAGACTTGGTGGAAAGGGTCTTGGCTATTTGCACCTTCTTAAGGCATATAATAAATGTCAGTATTCCTTTGACTAAGGTTTATTCTTCATTATTTTTTAAACCCTAGATGGAAACAGGAATATTTTCCCAAATTAGAATTAGTCTTAACCAAACACTAACAATTTTCAGCACCAAGTCTTCAGAAAAACTTCTTACATTCTGTTTGTTTAGTCATTTTTTCCTCAAGAAGCAGAGAGAGAAAAACATTTCAGTAACTGAAAAGTTTTTCTGTATTAGAAAAATTTAGAAGTTGGGCACTTTTTAAGGGTTCCCTCCACTCCTTTCAGGTCCACAAAACCCCCTTTTTAGGGTGTGCTTGTCAATGTTTAGTTTTGAAGTTTTTTTAATGCAGGTCTACCCATACATTTGTTCCCCCTATCCCCCAGTAAACTGTGCAATCAAATCAGTTTGAGTTCTATAATACACTGATACTTAGCAATGGTTTAAGGAAAGAGAAAATATCATTTAGCAGAATGCCTAATTTAACCAGAAAACTAGATGTGCTTTTAGAAAAAATGTTATTGCAGAACTGAAAAAGGCCAAAACTTCAGATAACCACATTCTTACAACCTCCAACCACAGCAGGTTATGCTCCACCATGAGATGTACCTCAGGATTTCTTTATTAACTACCTCTACTTTCTCATTAGGTTTTTAGGAGCTTTATTTTTGTCACCTTAAGTGAAACGTTAAAAGGCCCAGTAGCTGACCATGGTTTATTTTAGGTCATATTTCAAGGACTCTGATATACTGGAAAGCATAGTAAGGGAGATTTCAGCATTGCATCACACCTTAGAAAGAGTTTACTGAAGTTCAGTCTTGTAACCTCACAAAATCCTACTTAGGAATTGCTTAGAAAACTAAGGCAACAACTTGTTCCAGTCTCGTGCCTCTGGCCTATCAGTGCTTTTAATTGGAAAGGGAACAGAATGTAATTCTATTTATATCAATCTTTCATGACTGGCCAGCTTCAGCAGCAGACCTGCCAAGGACAGAACAGGTTGATTTTGTCTTCAGTTTCAATGCAAAACAAAGAAGGGTGACATTTTGTTCTAGCCTAGAATCTCACTTCCTGTGTAAAAATAAAGTTCTTCCAGCAAAGACACCCTTCAAAGACTTAGAGAAACACCTGGGGTATTAGGGTTTGGAGAACTTGCTGAGGTTTCCAAACTGCACTCAATCAATCACAAGCACTCCTGCTCAGAGTAGGGAAAACTCACAGCTGAAGAAGTTTCAGATTATAATCAAGATACATCTATCAACAAAGCACTGAAAGCAGGAAACTGTACAAAATTTCACTTGGACTTAATGGAATGATCTCAGATTAACTGCAACTTTCATTTAGTTAAGATGTTTTATCTTCAAGCTTCTGGAAGATAGAGGCTCTGCTCCTGTGTCCAATTCAGGACACAAGATGAGAAACATGACACACTGATGTTACTCAAGGGATGATAAGAAACAAGATGAAAAATGGCAATTTTTTCAATTCTAAACAGAAGATAAAGAACAAGTTCTGCCTGTGCAAAGATAAATACTGTAACTAAAAAATAAATTCTGATGTACAGGTACGATGCCTGCTTGTTTGTAAAGCAGGGATTAACAAAAATGTTTTTGTCATGTTTACATTTCCATATTAACAGTGAGGCTGCTAATCACTATCACTCACACCTTAGGGCTCTTTTATTTTCTATAGTATACTTTGCAAACTGAAGATGCTTCGTGATGAACCTATAGGAAACAAAATACAAATTTTTGATTTTGAGATTATGGAAAAAAACATGCAAGATCTTCAGCCTTCAACCCAGCCAGTTTAACAGTGTTAATGATTTACATTTTGGCTGGAGAACTACTTAGTGGATTTTTATAAGTAACAGGTTAAAAAATATCACACTGAAGATTAATTCTGTAGGTTAAGGATGTAGCTTTCTAAATTTCTATGGTGGAATTTGAAAGCAATAGAAAAACATGGTTCCCTTTGCTTTCAGGCCACACAGAGGATGGACCTGCAGGCAGAGTAATCTGTAGTAACATCAGTATGTCATGTTTCTCATCTTGTGTCCTGAATGCAATTTTTCTCCTCTTCTCATCTACCAATATCTGCAGTTTCTAAATCTTTAATATCTCCAGCAAAAAGGGAGTTCTTTAAAGTTCTAAAAGTTCTTTTTAAAGCCTGCACACTGACCCCTTAAATAACTTGTTTGTTAAGTTCTGCAAAATACATCAGCACTAGTTAAGACCGGATGTCCAAGACAAGATCTTCAGCAGTGCCCTGCTTCCCTAATTTGCAGCTGTGTAATTCCTCTGTTGATTTCAGAACTGCAACATTTGGAAAAATTAGATTTCTTAGTCAGCAGAAAAATGCGTTTTCATAAGATTTTGGGTTCTATCAGTTCTAGCACATCCTCCTTTTTCACAAAGATGCTAATCCCAACAAAACTCACTCTAATACATCAATAAACCAAATTCACTTCCAATATTTATAGTATTCTTGGCATATTTTTTTGGTCTCATATGGCCCGACAAAACTAGTAGATCTCCCTCTGGGATGTGTTTTTATATGATTAAACTGTAAAGAAAAGCACATTTAGAAAGATCATTAGAGTTTAAGAGAGGTAACAGACTGTGAATTGCAGTAATTAGCTTTAGGATACATTCCTACTCCTGCCTATCACCATCCTTAAGTCTTAATGACAGATTCACAGTTCCCACCAAGAGACAATAAGCAAATTGCACCCTAAAAGTGACTTGCCTTAAGACTGCTCAGATAAAAAGAAAAAAGATCATCCAACAAATGTCCAAATATGAGGATCCTTAGAAAAAAAAAAAAAAAAAAAGGGTATCTATTTAATAACAGGGTGGGGAGCCAGGATATTTTTTCATGCAGGGGAAAAAGAAAAAAAGAGGGCCAGCAGTTGGTACTTTTTTATTGCTTTTATCTGAAATGCAAATGCCTTTAGGTATTTATCAACTATTGTAACTTTTTAACCAGTATTATTTCCTCAAATTACTGTTGTCTTTTTGGTTCTATAAATTAGTCTTCCTGCAAAATGAAGCAACTTCCCAGGAAAATTAATTTTAAACTCTGACTACAGGTCTCAGAATGTCTTGAAGCAGCTCATAGACTCCATGGACTGCCACAGAAAAGGCCTTGTTTAAAATTAGGAACAAGAAAGCAAACAACGTCTCACATGATACTTCCAGATACCTTGGATCACATGAGGCATAAACATTTAAATCACTCCTGACATCTAGCCAGCTGACCATACAAACATACACAGCTCAATTAGCAGTCAGCAGGAATTCACAGGCACAGCTCCTTTGCATGTAAATCAATTATTAACAAACTTCATTTAGGTGTCTTTCTAGAAAACTTTAGCCAAGTACCTAACAAATTGTTTGCAGAAGGTATCAGAACATTGATATAGTTATTGTGTTGAGTCAGCTCTAAAAGGTAAAAGAGTTCAGTGCACCTGACACTGATCTTATAAGGATGGGTTACCAGCTCCAAAAATGCCTAAGACACAAGATAGTATGCAGTGATTATTGGTGGACTGTATCAGAGAATGAAGAACAGCCACAAAAACTACTTGAAACTAGCATTAAAGGCAACCTGTTGAACATCACCAAACTGATAAGGGTAAAAAATTATAGTTCATCTAAATATAAAGCAGATAAGCAGAAGTAATTGCACAGAATACACGTAATATACATTTTTAGTAGAACAGAAGCATTCAGTGGGTTATTTTGGTTCTTAAAGATGATTTTTCTGTATGATTACATCATCCTGGCTAAATAGAAAACACTTTTTTTAAAGTGCCTTGAAAAAGGCATAAAAGTACTTCAGTATCATCATTAGTCTCCTTTTCCCCCAAAACACTTGGGAAAGGAATCTGAGACAATCACCTTAGGTTTTAATGAGAATTGGGTCTTATATCAGGCCTTCAAGCAGGCTCTGTAAGTAAGGTTTTGACTTTCACCTGCTGCTTCTTCTTCTCTAATGTCACTATTATATAAATATACTTCAATGCTCTTTTATTTAAGTCTCAGAGAAAACTGAGCAATTGCACTGCAGAATTTTGCTGTCAGTTACTACCTATGGCACTCGGTCCCTGGTGCTGCTCCCTTGGTATGAATGAACACGAGCTCCAGGCAGAGCAGCTCCTGTTCCTAAGGCATGTCGAGTATGCACAGACCAGCTTAAAAACAACCTAACCCAAGCCATGTGGTGCCACTCTCCACATTCTTTGTGCCAGCTCGTCCATTAAAGTAATTCAACTACAAAATTAATCACTTCTTCCTCATCAGGTTATTTCCTCATGCTTTAGCAAGACAAAGGACTCCACAAAGTGGTCAACAAATAGGTACAAGGAAAGCTGGGTGAGCACTAATGAGCTGCTAGACTGGCAGAGCTGTTCCACAGAACCACCTTTCACCTGAGCCAGCTGGGGGCTCCCCAAATCTGAGAGCTGCTGCCATCACACCTGTGGCCAAGAGTTACAAGGCTGTCTTCATGCAGCTCAGCTGTTTTCAGATGTGAGATTCCCCGAAGGAGCAGTTTGTCAGTACCTGGGCAGCAGAACAGAAGTTACCCACATGTGAGCAACACTCCATATTTTGCAAGATTCTGCTCTAGTTCCCCTCTGTTACTTGGGTAAGCATAGATTGCAACTGCAAAGTGGGGTCATTACACAAAAGGTTTGACAGCAAGCTACACTGGGTCTTGTGACCACCCCAGTCCAAAATATTTCTGAAGTGATCACTATGTTGACAACATTCCTTTAAACAGCATTTCTTCTTTCTTTATTCCTTAAGATCAGGTGGCCAACTTGTCACTTAGAGAGTATGACCAAATTTAAGTCCCCTATTCTACTGAGGCATGTTAACCTCCAAACAGATCAAGAGGGAATGCTTTGATCATGAGAACCTGTTTATTATTAGATACAAATTTATTTTAAAACTGAATGTACATGAGAAATTAGGAGTCTAGATGCCAGTCTGATAAATCAGGAGGATCAACTCTGTCTTCCCACCTTGTGTGGGCTCCAAATTCATCTCAAGCTTGTATAGGCTTGTATAATGCATACTTACAGCTCTAAATCTTTTTCATTTGTGTATCCAGGTGATGTGGGTTTTTCTCCCTTCCCCCAAACACCCGTGTTAAGCCAGCACTTAGAATGCTTCCCTAAATGATTCTCATAAGCCCTTCCATCATCCTCATCACAGCAATTCCTAAAAAGCTTATTTTAACATGTCACATGTGCAAGAAGGAGGAGAACTGGTCAAGAAAAAATCCAGGAAATTTTAAAATGCAGAGACTGACTAGAACACTGAGAGATACAAGTTCTGCAGCATTTGATGAAAATTCACTGTAACAGCAAGAAAGTCTGTTGTAAAGCACTCCGGATGAGCGTGTGCTCAGCCACACAGTATTTACCAGAATGTCTCTTCAGGAAATGTAGGTCAGCCACAGTTCTTAAAACCATCCTTAGGGAACATATATACTTACAGAAGATCCATCAGTAGTAAATCCACACTTCTACAGTCAGTAACCCTTTCTGCCAGTTGCTTTTAAATCTTTGATTCCTTTCCAGATAGAGTTCAATAAGATCAGCAACTAAAACATCTCTGTCATCAGGAAGCTTGCACTGGAGCAAGTGCCAAGGCCTATTGCTACATCCAGCACCACAGAGTGGAAAGATGGCATAAAAGATTTTTTCTAGCCTCCTCAGACAGAATTCAAAGAATTCTTCCTGCTTCAACTCCTGCCTCTTAGGACACCCTTCTGTAGTTTCTACTTCCAAACCACAGCCTGTCAGTCAGTTCAGAGACCTTCTAAGAACTGTGGATTTGTACACACTGTACCCTGAGATAACAAGAACATTTTTTAATACGCTCTGGTAGAGTTTGCCCTTCTAAGTCAGAAGTTTGTAACAGTAGTAACAAAGTCACCATCAGAGCCTAAATTATCATGAAATGGAGGCTGAACTGAACAACATGTCACTTTTCCCATCTTCTTAGTTTTTCTTCCCCTGTGACCATCAAGGTTAATCAATAATAAGAACATGCAGGATGCTGAATATATTCACAGCAATGGCTACTGACACTACTGTCACTAAATGCACTTGCTTCTTGTAATTCTTAAGAACTACAATTTCAGTAGACAAGTTATTGAAACATTTAAAATTTATTTACATCTTATTACTAATGGATATAAAAAGAAACTAACAAGTATAACTTTTTAACTCGCATACGAATATTACCTGTATATTCATTACAAACTATTTTGTGTTAACAGGTGAAACGACAGGCCAGTAACAAATACTCGTTTTTCATGTCATATGATGAAATGCCTATTTTTTTTTATTTTGTAATTCAACTGCTGGAACACCCAATCACTCCTCCTTCCACATCTGATTCCAACATCCTTCACGAAAGGTTCCTAGAGAGGAAAGACTTAAGCAGGGATGCTCTGGTGTTACTTAACGAGCTCGATGTGTATTAAAGCGAGCCTTGTCTGTCCCCCTCCGGCTGCCAGGCCAAGGCAGCCCCAGCCTGGACCTCCCTCCGCCGGGCCGGGCCGGGCCGAGCTGCCAGCGCCGGGGCAGCTGCGGAGCCGCCGCTCGGCGCGGGCTCTGCACCCCCCAGTACCCGCGGAGCCCGGGCACTGCCAGCGGCGGGCGGGGCGCGCTCCCCGCGGCCGTGCCGAGTCCGCAGCGCCCCAGGCCACTCGCGCCGCCCCGCCGGGGGTGGGTAACGGGGCCGGCGGGCTCAGCTCAGCTCAGCCCGGCCCCGCAGCACCCGCCCCGCCGCCCCCCGGCTCTTACCCAGCACCACGGGCGGCCCCGCGGGCCGGCGGCGCGGCGCGCTCCTGCCACCGGGACACAGCAGCAGCAAGAGGAGGAGGCTGAGGAAGGAGCTCCGTCCGGAGCGCGGGAGGAGCCTGGCGCCAGCCGGCAGGAACATCGCCCCTGCGCATAACCCCGAGGCCGGGAGCCACCACCGCTACGCCGGGGCTGCCGCGGCCCGGCCGGAGTGCGGCCCCGCCGCCCGGCACGGCCAGAAAAGGGTCTGCCCGCCCCGCCGGGCCCGCCCCGCCGGGCCCGCCCCCGTCCGCGTCACCGCCGAGCGCGGAGGGCCCGCGCGGCCGCCGCTTGGCCCCGGCTGTGGGCGTTCGGTCCTCCTGTGGAAGGACCTGGCAGTGTGACGGCCCCGGCTGTGAGAACTCGTTCCCTGTCAGTGTGGCGGGCCCGGCTGTGAGAACTCGTTCCCTGTCAGTGTGGCGGCCCGGGCTGTGGGAGCTCGTTCCCTGTCAGTGTGGCGGCCCGGGCTGTGGGAGCTCGTTCCCTGTCAGTGTGGCGGCCCGGGCTGTGGGAGCTCGTTCCCTGTCAGTGTGGCGGGCCCGGCTGTGGGAGCCCGTTCCCTGTCAGTGTGGCGGGCCCGGCTGTGGGAGCCCGTTCCCTGTCAGTGTGGCGGGCCGAGCTGTGGGAGCCCGTTCCCTGTCGGTGTGGCGGGCCCGGCTGTGGGAGCTCCATTCCCCCTCAGAAAGCAGTGTCAGTGTGGCGGTCCCGGCCGCAGTCACAGACTGCTGCTCCGGACAGGTAGGGACAGCTGCCCCCCGTTCTGTTGGGGCCGGCAGAAAACTCTGAGGAGGGAGATGTGCTAAGGGAGCAGAGACGTCTCTCATTATTGCGTCTACAGTTGTTTGGTCGTGAAAAAGTCTTAACAGCGAAGTAATGGGCGTTTGCTGCAAAACATGTCTAAAAATAAGTAGCGCAAAAGGGGCGTGGTCAGAATGGTTGAAAGCCGAAGTGCTTGGAAGAGCTGGGAATTTTAGTGTTACACGGTCAAAGGACTGGGCATCTGATAGAGGAGCTCACGGGCATATCTGCACTTCAGGCAACACCCAGCTCATCTGGGAGCTAATTGGTACAGAGGATCCCTGGGATCAGGCGTTTGGCAATACTGAGAGGAAAAAAAATCATTAGACCTTTATACATGTAACAAGGACAGGCAGTCCTGTAATTACAGTAATTTGGAACCAGAAGTCTTATAAGCCTATGTGCTTCAGCAATACCAGTTAGTACGGGCTACGTGCTCTGATTGGTGTGCAGGTCGTTTGATGGGTGTCTGCCTGTGGAGAGGAACAAGGAAAGGTATCCATAGAAGCAGAAATTAAATAGAGAAAAAAATGGAACCAGTGTAATCACAGCTCATGATCAGTAATGATTGTGCTGATGGGCCGGACAAGATTTCCTTCACTCAGTCATATATCTGCTCCTTCTGTGGAAACACACTTTCTGAGCCAGATGTTAGCAATTCATGCTCAGGATAGAGCTATTTCTGACAAGGTTATTTTGCAACAGGAGCACTGCACTGTCTACTTCACAGCTTCCTACATCCCCCAGTGGATCTACTAATTTTCAGAAATATTTCTACCTTGAATGGTTAATACATGAGCATGAACAGTATCACAAGTGAAGATGTGAGTGAAAGACAAGTAGAATTTCTGGCCTCACTAAATTCAGTATTCAACAACTTCTGTAATTCCTGGAGAGAGACATGTCAGATATTTGTGTGTGAAGGCAGAATCTGGTAAATCAGATACACAGCCTGCTGAGAAGAGCTTTAAAAAACTGCATTGTCTTGGCATTAACATGGAAACAGAAGGATACATCTTCCTCCTTAAATAAGAAAATAAAGACCCAAATATTCAAGGAAGGTAAGGCTAAGTCTAAATCTAGACTTGCCTTTTTCTAGGCAGCAGCCACACCTTGTATGTTTACATCCAACAAACCCAAAGACAGGTGCTTAGTCATCGTGCAAGTGTTGACATGAAATTACCTCCTACTAAGGCAAACTACAGGGTGTGCAAGTGTGACTGCCTAAAAGTGATTGCAACAGGGAACCTCATGTACGAATTAAAAGTTACAAAATATAGCAAAAGACCTTATGGGAGGCTAAAACACTATTTAAAAGAATGACTGTGTCTGAATTCGGTTTTCTCTCATACTCAAAAGGCCCAAAATGCACATGTCCCAATAGCCTGGCTGGGATCACTTGAGCTATGACACAAGGTTCAAGGAATGACACCTGTCAAGCCCTCTACATCTTGTGGGTTCCCTTGGGTGGCATCAGAGCATCATCTTGGGGCAGATTTTCTGTGCCTGACTGTGGGCCTCTAAGGGCACAGGCCTTTTGGGCTCCAGGTACACTTTGCATTTGTCAGCATTTGCAAGTGCTCCTAGTGGTTATCACATATGTATCACTTCTGTAACCATGTCCTCATTGATTCTCCTCAAGATGTCTTCAAACCAATCTTAATATTTCCTTTACAAATCTCTGTGCTCTTTTGACAGCTGGGAACCTCCTCACATTTCACTAAAATAGTCTCCATCTAATTCTATCCCAGGAAAAGGCTTCTAAACACATAATAACTATTCCTGCAAGCCCAGGCTCTTTAGATAACAGTCTTTCAGCTGATAAATCAAGTAGCATTTTTTAGTTATTTCTTTTATTGCTTCCTTTTGTGAGATCAGAGCATTTGCATTTAAACACAAAGTGCATTAAGCTCTTTGCCTTTGTAAGGTTTAAATATGCACAGCAAATTTCTGTTTTCACACTGAGTGCCTGGTCCTATTGTCACTCACACCAACAAACCCAGGAACCTGGACACACAGCATTGCTTTCCAGCTGATGATACCCTGCTATTAATTGAGTCAGTGTAACTATTTCCAAGGGCTGCTTTGTTAGAAGAGCAATCCAGCTCTTTCTCCACAGAGAAGGACTTAACAACAGGGATTTGTAGATTACCAGCAGTTCACGAATGTGACCATGTGTAGCCATGCAGAAATCTACCAGTCATCATCCAAGGCAGATTCAAAGAATAACAGAACCAACTCCACATCTGAACTGCCAGTAAAATGCCAGCCAGCTCATTATTTTATGAAATACATTTTATATTCTGCTTCCTTCACATGTTTGGTATCCAAAGTTGGCTAGAAATGGAAAATGAAGCTGTTACAGTTAAACTACTGATAAAATGAGGACTGCATCTTTTTCATTTATGTATGAAGTGAAAAAAAAAACAGTATCCAAACTTCAGAGGCCAGTTTGTTACCACTGCAGAATTTTTTTTCATGTCCGTAATCCATCTTCTAAGAAAATATTCTTTACTTCTTCCAAAAAACCCACACAATAGAAATAAACCATATTAAATGCCAGAAACTACAGTGTCAGTAGCATTATCTTTGTTTAAGACTCTTTAAGGGCTTGCACTCTTGACAAAGACCATGAATTGGATTTGAGTTTGCACACTGGTTGTTTAAGAGAAACAATCCTTTTCAGAAATCTACTGTTTGCTTAAATGTCTTTTATTTGATTGAACAAAATTCTCTGTTTGCCTCTGATCCTTGCCATTGAAGTGGTGTTTGTATTGGCTCAAATCCCCTCAAACATGATTGTGCTGACTTACACACACAAGTAGAAGACAGCTGGTTTCAAAGAAAGATGTGAAGACAACCAAAATGTTGTGACAAATTTACTCTGTCCTTGCAGCTCAGTGCAGTAGCACAGTCCCAGGACACAAGCTGACATGCATTTGAACCAGGGCTGCAAAGACAATTCTTCCTTTCACTTCTTCCTGCTTCCTCAGTGCTTCACATCCACTTCCATATTGTTCCCCATGGTGCTGCTCAGTAGCATTAGGACAGTAAACAAAACCTGTGCTCCTCATGGTCTTTCAGGCTAAATTTGGTTACAGTGTCAAACAGGGACTGGAAAAAAGAGAAGAGAGCACTTGAATAGTGGGAGTACTGAAAATGCAGGCTTACATAACCATCAACCCACAAACTCTGAGCCAAGGTGGGGTAACCACAATTAAGAGAGTAACAGTCACTGTCATATCTCCTATCTTCAAACCTTTAATCCATATAATAGAGATCATATTACTCCTTTGGCTCATGTTTTGCTAAAGCAAATCAATTTGTCCTTGTAAACCATCCATGTAATAAAGCTTCATAGTAAATGGTGAGGATTTAATTACTAACACTCAGAATTTCAGAATTCCTGCTCAGAGAGAATTTTATTAGAATCTGGGAGTGAGAAATTTTTAGCAAGAATGCTCATACTTAACTAGTGGGACTTTTACTCAAGATTTACTCAGAGTTGGTGTTCTGGGTTGGACCACTGAAGAATTTTGAAACTGGAGCTAGGCAATATATGGAATTGAAAAAATAATTTAAAAATAAGAGGCGGCATGGGAAGATGAAATGGGGAGATACAATTTTGTGTAGGATGAATATATGAGGAAAAGTGTTGAAAATACAATCCATGTTGTGATGAAAACTGAGTAGGTTGAACCCTCAGGCACAGCTTATGTCTTGCACAAGTTCCCACAAAGTACAACAACTTCCCAGCACATTGCAAGAGCGGTAGAACCTGACACCTTTTGCTCTGCAGAGAAACTTGGGCCCTCTGAGGTAGAAAGCTGACAAGGTGGTTTAATCTGCAGACAAGGTACTTTTTTCTGTGAGGAAGAAATTTGGAGGAAAAGCAGAATTTGGTATGCTGTTACTGTAAGGCTTAACAAATCTTTCAAGACTGAGTGTGGTTAGAGAGGGCACAGTGACACAAGTCAAGCAGCAGCATTTCAGAATTCTAGCCCACATGTAATGAAAAGGCAAGAGCCCACTGCTTAATAAGGATTTCAGTGTTTCATCCAGTGTCACATCTGTTTGGCATCCCAAACAGCTGGACACAGTGTCAGGGAAGTCACAGGGAAATACAGGCCTTAGGAAATCTGCTAGCTCAGAGTATTTCTGAAGAGACAATTCTGCTGCTACTGAATCCAACAGATTAGTGGGAAAAGTGAATCCAACTCTGGAAACACAAGTGTGTCCAGAAGAACTGAAACTGCTGTCAGTAATTTAGTCTTGTATCAAAGGGGATTTTGGTCTTTGTCTAGT